AAATTCAAATTGAGAAGGTAGGACACAAAAATACCAAGAAGCTCAGGTGGCAAAACACCTACTTCATTTGAAACCTTCAGGTACAGAGCCCAGGTTTAAAAGGGGCTTTCAATTCTTAGTCCAACTGATTTGTGTTTGAGTCAGAGTGAAGAAATAAATCTTAATGTCTCAGATTGGTGATTTCTTCTCAATCTATTTGTGTGTGTTCCCTACAGATCTCCAGCTCCCCATGATTCTCAGCTCAGTCTAACCTCCAAAAATCCAGTCGATATGACAGAGAAAAGGCAAGCACAATCTGTGAGAAGAGCAAAGCAAAACTGCAGCACTGTAGAATTTCCTCAGGTAAATGATTTTCTTTCTTTGTTAACAAGCCAATACTCGGTGTCATTTACAAAGGCAACACATGCACAATATCCAGATCACCACCCCACGACAAAGAGATCTACCTGAAAGAACCTTCCATGCTAAACTACCTCATGCATATTCATGACCTGATTCATATCTCAATGTTGGAAACTTGTGAGAAACACAACATGCAGAGAAACAGCTTTTGTTTACTTACACCAGAATCTGAAAATGGCACACACACAAAAGATGTCAGCACTGGTCAATGCTGCAAACTCACACGTGTGCAATGTATGTATGTGTCTGCCTGCAGATAAACATTTATTCCCAAGGGGGGCTGCTAATGAGACTGTGCTGCAGGGAAGATATCCAATTACTCCAAATGACATTCATATTTTAATCACATCACACGCACTGAAGAGCTCGAGGTTTGACCAAGCAATCCCTGAAACACTCTCTTTTAATCAATTAGCTCTCAAAACATCAGCAATGTGCTGTTGACGAGTCACTGGGTTAAATACACTACAGCACACCCAGATTCCAGCTTCCTACCGAGAGACGATGGTGTGGCCTGCTAAAACTTCTGAAACAGATGCACAAAGTTTTCCTTGTAAGAGATACACGATGTTCTCTTTTAGGTACTTTGCTAAGAAACAAAGACACCCCTCAGGCTCACTCTGAGCCACCACTCATTGAATTCTTTTCAGGACAGATGAAAAACATTGTTTTAAGGGCATCACTCCTGTGTAAAAATATCAGACTCGCTCACAAATCCTTTTACGACTGGTTTATCTTAAAAAAAACCCAACAACCCAAGGCAGTCAAAACAATTTGCTTTCCTCAGTCATCCTCTAAGTGACAAATGCCACTGGGCATGTGGATCAGATGAAAGACTGGCCACATTTAACATGTTTTAGCATTAATCAGGCATCTTAAGATGCTCCAAGTCATAGGAATAAGTACAAAAATTATGAAAACAGAGATGCAAGACTCTAATTCAATCATTCTTCAAATTAGCATTGGATATTTTCTGTAAACAGAGTACATCCTCATCGTTGTTATATTAAACAATAGACCATTTCTACTTCTGAAACTTTACATGAAAAATTTCACTTTAAAAAAAAATCAGTTCTGCACTCACATATGTTTCTTAACAAACAAAAATCTAAACAAAAACATGAAGTGAGAATCGACTGAAGTCAAGGTTTAATTGAAAAATATTTCAAACTCCATAACGGAATAACAATGTAATGGCCAAAGTATGGGATGAGAATTTTCTTCACCTAGGAGGTAGCAGCCCATCTACCTTCCATCGAATCACTTCAGCCCAGTCAAAAGGCGCAAAGCTACATATTTTGAAAGCTTAAAATTATTTTTTTAATGTTAAGGAACTGGGGAAAACTGTGGGGCAGAAGAGAAATCCCACTGTCCTCCTTGCACTTCATAACATGTAGCTTGAGAGTTATTTTGCTGAAGGTACTCAACGAATAGCTATTCACCTTCCCAGTCAAGTAAGTGTGCCTTAAGCATGTTTTTGACTGCAACCACTTGTGTTTGGGTTTGGGGTGTTTGTTGTTTGGGGTTTGGAGTTTGTTTAACTCCTGCTTCTCAATTTTTAGGCAGCTGTAGTTCTTCTAATTAATCTCTCCTAACTAATCCCTCCTTCAACACCAGTAAATCCTGGGGGCTAAAATGCCCTTCAGCACAGATCTCTAAATGCACAGAAGCTTGAGTTGCTAAATTTCAATACCTAATCTTGTCTTTAGTGAACACTTAGCAAGTGCCAGGAACACAACGTCTAGAACCGAGTCAGTTGTTATCATTATCCTCCCTAAATGTCTGTGGAATTCAGCCAAATCAATACACAGCCATCAAAAGGGTGTAGGGCTTCTAAGGCCGTCCATTTGCACGATGGAATGTATCTTAAACGATAAGTACAGGTTTCTGCCTTTGGTGGAATGACTGAAGTTGGTAATTATGGCAACTGGGAGGGAAAAAAATACCAGTCTTGAGTACAGGAAACATGGTGGTTGTTGCTGTAAAACACACCCCAACTGGCAATACATTCAGTTTCAGCAATCATCAACAGAAGCTTCCACACCTCCATTTTTATGAAATGACATTTATTACCCAGCAAGGCTACAACACGGAATATGCACCCTTTCCTTTCGCATTCTATGGTACAAAATACGCCAGTATCCTACTCATGAGTTATAGGAACTGTTAGGCTGAAGCTAAAAGACATCTGGGAGGCACAGATGGTTCACGACTGTCCAATAGATGTGGAACCATTTACCTTCAAGGTCAGCCTTCTAACACCACGAAGGTTGGTAATGACCAAAGTCATCAACACCTTATCAGAATGAGCTAATTCTCTTCTGTCTGGTTCCTCGTGCACAAATATCTGTGTCCCAGCTGGCACTCACAACAGGGATGAGCTCAGACCCAGCCTCAACTCATTTCTGTTAATGGCATTCCTTTCCGAGAGAGGGGGAAAATGTGCAGCCTTCTCATTCCTAGAAATCTCTTCTGCAGTAGAGCTCAGATTGCTGCTGCCTGGATTCCAGTCCCAGCGCTTCCAAATTCACCAGTAAAAGTTCATTCTTGAAAAGATATTTCACTGAACTCAATGCTCCATAAAAATCCTTGCTCTGGCTCTGTATAAAACCACGGGAAACACAGTTTTTAAACCTCTGTAACATAACAGTTACAAAACATGAGTAATTGCCACTTAAGAAAGCTGAGAGAACTATTGAATACTATTTCAATAGCAAAAGATTACTTGGGTGTTAAGATTATCTGAATTATAAATCTGTTCTTTTGGTCTACTAGAGATTATATTCTTGGAACCATTACAAGCAGATAAAGTGCAGTTCTTCACGAACCTAAACACCAACCTGAATTTAGAATACTATAGTGCTCAGTAGTTTTAATGAATGCTCTGAATGGCCTAAGGAAATATCAGAATCATTCCAGCATTCCAAGGAGGCAGGAGCTGAGCTACATGAAAATGTTGGAGGTTCTTCCATAGGCATTTGCCATTATTGGTGACTCTACCAAAAGCTTTTCCATGAGCTACCACTCAATGGATATTAGAACCACAGCATAAAGGCCAGTGAAAAGTACAGGATCTTTTAGAGAGGAAATAAAGACAGAAGACAAGTATAACCAAGAAATGACTACTTAGAATGGGGCATGATTTACGTATCAGAGTAATAGGCGATTATGATGGAGCAGGTGATGAACACAATCATAATGAAGAGAAAGGTTCTGATGTAGCATCAGATTCCGAGGTCTTGGCTCACCCTGTAAGTCCAAGTATTCCAGAAAGGAGGTCAGGTCTACTCTCAAAGTAAAATGCACCAAAACTGACAGATATCAAAGGTACCTTACAGGTTTTTGAAGGTATCAAAGTTTTCCCTAAAATGAAGATGATTACACTTAACAAGTTGCAAATCTAAAGATTAGCATCAATAGTCCAGAGAGATGAGCACTGAGGAAAAAAAAAACAAATCAAGCACCAGTAAATTGGGCAAGTTCTTAATTAACCATGAGATGTTCAGAAAGGACTCTCATCAAAGCGTTCATATTCACCAGCTGTAAGTCAGTAGCACAGCATAGCAGATATACCGCCTGCAGCTGTGACCAACAGCCCCCAGCGTTAAGAAAACAAACAAGCAAACAGCAAAAACTGATTTCCGCGATACTTCCGAGAGACCACAAAGACCGAGAACACTCGTCTTTAAACATTAAGCAATGGACACGCAAACTTACACAGAGTGGAACTTTTCTTTGTTCAAACGCATGCAGAACACAACCTGCCTGAAAGAAAGAAACGGGCACCGCTCTGAAAAGCAAGGGGGAAGCCTGTCTTAAGCACACCGAGCAAAATAACACCTAACTGCTTTCTCCCAAAAAAGGCAAAGAGTGCTCCTGCAGCGATAGCTGCACATCATTCAGCAACCACATTTCCCTGACTTTGCTCCCCACACACCAGCGAGCGGATGAGCTTCCCAGACCCACTCAGCCACGTTCCATCTCCCGCTCAGCCCGAGCTCCGTGCTCAGCTCCGGCACCGGGGCTGCAGCTCCCCGGCACAGGGTTCCCAGCCCGCTGATGAGGCGCATTGACCGCCGAGCCGGCTGAGACCTCACAGCACAAACCAGAGCCGCCCGGACCAAACCAGCAGCACGTTTGGGGGTCGCGGTGTTTTGGGTTTTTTTTTTTCGGTTGGTAGCTTTTTGCACGCTTCTCTCACAAACAGTAGTTTACCCGAGAAGGAATTTCCCGCAGGTCTTCGGCAAAACCCCGAGGGGCGGAGAGGGCTCCCGGCTGCGAGATCCCAAAGCCCCCGCACCTCCGCAGGGAGGGGAACGGCGGCAGCGGCGCCTCGCTCGGGCATCCCCCGCGGGGTCCGCCCGAGCATCAGAGCCCCCCGGGAAGGGAGGCAGGGGATGCGGGGTGCAAGGGATGCGAGACGCGGGATGCAAGGGATACGGGATGCAAGGGATACGGGATGCAAGGGATACGGGATGCAAGGGATACGGGATGCAAGGGATACGGGACGGCGAGCCCCACATCCCGCCCCGGCACCGGTGCGAGGAGGGAGCCGGGGCACCGCGCGGCACCGGAGCGAAGTTCCCGCGGGTACTCACACGAAGACGCCGAAGAGCAGCACCCGTATGCCGATCTCGATCGCCAGCTCCCGCATGGTGGGTCCCGGCGCGCTCCCGCAGCCCCCGCAGCGCCGCCTCTCATCCCCCGCCCGGCGAGGGGGGCACCGGGGCAGCTGTGCCGCCTCACGCCGCCCGCCCGGGGCCCCGCGGGGCCGCGCAGAGCCGGCGGCAGAGCCCGAGCCCCGCCGGGCGCAGCCCCGGCCCCGCCATGGCTCGGCTGCCGCGCTGTGCGGGGCGGGCTGCGGGGCGCGGCGCTGCCGAGCGCCGGGGGAGGGTCCCGCCGACTAACGCGGTGTCCCCCCTGGCGGGGGCCGGGGATCCTGGGGATTTCCCCTCCCCTCCTCCCCTTCCCCGCCCCCGCGGCGCTGCCGAGCCCGGAGCTGGAGCTGGAACCGGAGCCGGAGCTGCAGCCGCGCCGTCCCGGCCGCCCCTCGGGGCGGCTTCGCGGTGCCCTCGGCGGGGGCGCTGCGGGTCCGTCCCCGCCTAACGCTGGGAAGCAGCTCGGTGGGGCGTAGGGAGCGCTCTTCCCTGCCCCATTTAGCGCAGCGCTCCCCCGTCCTTAGCTGGAGAGCCATTAGCCCATCGCCCATCCGTCCCCATCGCCTGCCACGGCACAGCCGGGTTTCAGCCCTCCCGGGGATGGCACAGCTCCGATCGCGGGCTGGGCAGGCGTTCCGCTGGTCATCACGGACTCCTACTGAAGCCCTGCGCTCCGAAAAGATGGAGAAATAAAAATTAAGTGGGGCTGGGGGGAGGGAGCACCCCGCGCACAGGTGATCTCAGGTGCTCATAAAGACTTACATTGCCGTGCACTGGGCGATTACACACCAGGGCTCCTCAGTGCTGGCACTGAGCTCAGACCATTTACTTTATCTTTGCACAAAGGATTAACAACGTTTGAACACATTCTACATGATGTATTCCTATAATAGGCTGTCCGCCCGTTCAGACATCCGTGCCTTTTTAACCCCTACTCCTCATTAGTAATGCAGATAACCCAGCATGTCAATCCTGTGTCACTTGGTCAGATTCCTCCCAATATGTGATATTATAGCCTAACTGTGTCAATAGTTCACTGTCCATTCCCAGAGCTGGGTCCAGCTCAACAGATGGGCAGAGGTTGTAGTTACAACCTCAAATGGCTGTGATGGGAGAGAGGCAGCAAAATAATCATGGCATCAGTTTACTCCTGTGTTTCCTCCAATCCATCCTCCCTTCCTCCCAGTGACAGGCTCTGAACCACCCTAATCCTTGCATTGCCTCAGCCTGCTTTTGCACAGAGTTCGTTTAACTTCCTCTGCATGGAGAGACTGGATCCTGAACATCTTTAGTGTAAGAGAGTTTCAGCCTTAAGTCATGAAATGCAGCAAACTAATTCACATTTAAATGTATTTCATTATCTGCTTTCATGGGGCCTTTGAAGGCATGTCCTTCAGGAAAGTGTTCATAGCTATTAATACTGCACATAGTTACAAAACAACCATCAGGATTGCAGTGGGGATCCAATTCACTTTACTACATGATTATTGCTGGAGAATTAATGCCAGAGAGGCTTTATTAAACCTATCTCCTTAATACATGCACTATGCATAAAATGGAAGCTCTGAACTCTGAATTAAACTTTTATTGTCCATGTTTGTGGAAGAACAGAGGCATAAGCTTCCATCTTAACCTCAGCTGCAGATAAATACACCAGTGCTAGATGTGTTGCAAGGAGTATGACTGAAGCCCAGGAAACACAGGTGTGTGACTGGCATTGGAGAGAGCTTTCAAAGTGTTAGTGTTACTTAAATAAGATCTACCTCCCTTGTACGCCTGATTGCACTAATTTTCAGGACAAAGGTTAGTCAACTACTTATATTCTGGGTTTTAAAAAAGGTGACTCTTCCAGGAAACAAAGCTTCATGGTGAAATCTCCATCCTAAACTGGCGGTGTTGATAAAGGACAAGTCACCTACATTTGAGGACACTCAGCTGGTTTGTCATCTGTTGTCAAATATTTGTGCTTCCTCTCACTTGTGCCCCCAACGACATTGTTGCCAGGTGTGCACACGAATAATCTTTGTTTTCATTAACAGTCCTTCCTTACAGAAACAGCCTCACAAGTTGTGTTAATCAAGCCAGCCATGAAACAAGGAGTTGCAAAGACTGTCAGATAACGATCTCAGTCTGCACTGCAGTTCCCAGGTCCACTAAACTGGGGGGGACACAAACACAGGGGACAGAAGTGGGGACAGAGTGTTTGCTCTGCTTGACCATCTGGGGAAACAGTTACCACTTACACCTCTTCTCACCTTTTCATTTTTTGTCCTGGAATTGCATATATCTTGTCAGCTGTGTTGTCTTAGCCTATGGATCTTAGGATAACAGAGTGATTTGGCTTGGAAGGACATTAAAGACCCTCTTGTTCCAGCCCCCTTCCACTGTCTAGTTGCTCACAGGATCCTTCAGCTTCTCTGACTTTGCTACTGTCCTGCTGCAGCAAAAGGGAGTTTTCTCACAGGTTTCTATTATGTTTGGAATCACTCAAGTGTTACCAGCAGAGCTAATAAACAATGCTGGTTAGAAATTAAACACAGTTTGTCTTGCTGCAGTTATCTGCTTGCAGTGTTCTGATTTTCCAGTGCATATCAGCTGATGGGGATTTATGAAGCAAAAACACATCAGATTGATTTTTTTTTATTTTTTAAGCTGGACCCAACTTGCAGCTGCCTGCTGTGCAAAACTTGCTTTGACTTTTAAACCAGCTACGAGTTACAGGGGTAATTAGCGAGGAACAGATTTTAGGCTACTCTGAAATAATGTTGTCTGTCCAATTCTTAGATCTTGTAATTGTGGAAGTACTCAGGGCCATGGAGTTTCATTGGCTGCTGATGGCTTTTCTTCCATATAAAGGGTTCTTAAAAATATTTAATGTAATTTTTTAGTGTTACATGGCTATATGCAATGATCAGTCAATGAAAAACCACAGATACAGCCCAAAATGTTCATTAGACAAATCCCTACCTATGCATTTTTACAGGTTTGTATCAGAGAAAAGAATTACCTATAAAATTTGAGGCATTCCCAGGCTGCACAGTTGGAGAAAAAAATAATCTATGAAGAAACACTGGTAATGTTTCAGAAGTTCAAGACAAATATTTCAATTCTAAGGTATTCATCATCACCTGGAGAATTCATAAGACTTAGGAAGGGAAGTGGTAGCAGAATTAATTAAAAAGAAAAAGAGTATAATTCAATTGTTTCAGACTTCAGATTAATATTTTTAAACAGTCTCTGGTTATCATATCACTGCAGAAACATAGAAGATTGAAAGTCATCTTTAAGCCCCACTGAAGCTGATAGGAACCTTTGTGCTGATTCAGGATGTTAAAATGTGTCATATATCTCCTAAAATGAAACATGGGACAAGTATCCTGAAAAATTCCTATCACTGTGTTTGCTCAAGAAGTTAAATTCACAAAATAACTAATTATTATGACTGATAGAAAACAAAGGATGTTTACTATGAGGATGTTACATTTGTTCATTCTTGAATCATTAAAAGTAGTTATTATGTTCACTCTGTTTCTAAACTTTTGGGGGTAAACCACTTCTTTGTTGTTGTTCTTTCAATGCTTGGCATTAGTGTCTAATCCATGAATATAAATATAAATGGTGTATTTTTTACAAAATCACAGACATTACAATATAACGTCAGAAATGAAAATAAATATCAAATGGAAAAATCTTTAGGTCCCAAAAGCTTACCTGTTGATTGAAAACATATAAAAATTGGGCACTTTTCAGAAGTTCAAGTTGTCTTCGTGAGGGTCAGCAGCTGCAAGCTTGGGGCCCATCTCTACGGTGAGATGAATCCATTTCTCCCTGAATTTTTTCCAAAACATTGTAGTTCCATAGGTCTCATCTGTCTGTCATTCACTGCTTTAGGTTACTGAACCTAAGGCAAAGTGATGAGGAGTGAAGAGAAAAAGAAATCCGTAACACATGTAAGCACATAATTTATTTCTGAGAAAACCTCTGTGTATGAGCACCTCATGGGAAACTCCAAAATCTGCATAAATCAGTCATTTCTTAATTACTGGAGCTCAATCCAGAAGGAACCAGCCTATATTTTTTTGTAATTTCTGTGGTAAAAGGTAAATCTACAGAATGCTTTAGCTTTAGAAAGATTATGTGGCAGGTTTGCAGTACACTGGGTGGGTCAGATGCACACAAACACTTCAGACCTGTGTTACTTAACGGTGAAAAATGGCCATTATTTTGTGTCATTACCAAATTACAGCTATTGCCAGTAATTACTGTTATTACTAATGAAATCAGGACTCCTTGGGATCTGAAAGATTCCCCAGAAAAGAAAGCCAAACCTAGAATTTTTAAACACTGTGGAGAAATCTGTCTAAAATGCCTGAAACGAGCATGCTGTCTGTGAACCAAACTTCTCTTACCCTTTATAACTTTACTGAGGTTTTCTGCTGATTAAATTCCCCACTGTTGAAGCCACAAAACCACTGATTCTCATTATCACCTTGCATATAAAGGGGTGTATCTGAGAGCAGAAAACTTCTTCATGATGACTCCACTACTGCTGAAGTCAGCAGGGATTGGACTTGCAGAGGGAGCCTTTCAGAAAGCAAGAATTCTGCCTTCAGCATGTAAAAACTGCTGCAAATATTACATAGGATGTACTGTATAGCCCAGATGCAGTGCTGCCTGTGAGTGATACAGGATTTTGTAGGACAGAGGGGGCAGATTCCTTGTAAATCCATGAGGGGAATTTGAAGTGAGCCCTGCAACCAGGGAAGTGTCTTCATCCAACACATAGATGGGAAATAACTGGGTATGTTTCAAGAAGGATTCAAGTGATGTTGACTAAAGCTTGACAATTTTCTTAACTTCTATAGTTCTGATGCACAGTCAGGTACAACTTGGCAGCCAAGTTTCATTTTGGAGTTATTTAAACTCAGATTTGTCACAGGACATAAAACTTTTGTGGGTTCAGATCCACTGAGATCAACCATTAAGACATGTCTGGCTGAACAAAATTTCCAGTTTCACATTGCCTAAGCCTGCAGATGATTAAGCAAGAACAGCTGGCCAAACAATCACTAAAGTCAAACCTGGCACAACATTTGGCCAGCTTTTTATTCTTCAGCAATTACAGTCCACTAAACACCTACTTACTCTTACAAATGCATAAATGAAGGTCTATTTTA